GTGTTCAAAAACAAGCATATTCTCATGGAATCATCTGCAAGCTGAAGGTAGACAAATCCCGTAAGAAGCTCCTGGTGGACCAGGCTGAGGCCCACTGGCCTAAGACTAAGGAAGCGTGCAAGCTCCATGAGTGCCTCCAGGCCAAGGAGGAGATCATCAAGATGTTGTCCAAGGAGGAAGAGACCAAGAAATAAAGCTCCTCCTTTCTTGTCTATACATAGTGGCCTCAGTAATTACATAGACCAATCATTCAAATAAAACAGGCTTTTATCTGCTTGAAAAAAACCCAGCTCTCTAAAACCCAACCTTTAATGCTTACTTACTTGCAAATATCCTCTTCATAAATCAGATCATGTACTAACTGCTTAAATCTTTTAGAATAGAATGGCAACGCCATACACTATAAGGTACTAAATAATCTGGCTCCTGCCCAACCTTGTTTTATACTTTTGTGCCCCACTGGCTTCCTTTGGCTCTGGGAACACACCTACTCTCTATAAGTCACTCTGTTTCTGCTGAAGGGTCTTAGAGTGACCTGTTTTCTCTACCCTGACCACTTCCCCTGTTGCCATCCTTAAGGTCTCAGTTCAAATGCCCCTCTTCATTTGAACTTCCCCCACCACCTTCACCCCTACCCTAAGTCATTCACTATCACCTCACCCAGTTTTCTCCCCGTGTAGTCCATCTTGTCACAGTCCAGGCCGTGGTTTTTGTTTATTGACTTACCGTCTTCTCTCTCTGCTCGAATGTTAGTTTCATGAGATAGGGAGCCTTACCTATCTTATTTATAACCATATTCCCAGAGCTAGGTGCAGTGCCTGGCACATACGGGTAGTAGGCACTCAATCGCTGTTTGTCAATGAATAAATTTCAGCCAGGGAGGGATTAAGTAAGACCTTAAGAGGGTCTAAACACTAAGGATTATGGTGCTCCTCCCCCATATTTAATTCTAACTAGCAATTTTGGTGCTCCTTCCCCATATTTAACTCTAACTAAAAACAGTACTAAACCACACACTTACACGTACTGAAGCAAAAATAGCTTCTTTCTAGATTATCTGATTGTAAATCTTGGACTCCCTGCCTTGCTAGTGCCCTAAGTTTATGTGCTCTTCCTCCATCCTGGGGGAATCTAGCACTCAGCCCTCTAGATGTGTTGGACACTGTTTTAGTTTAAAATTGCCTATGACTACAAACAATCTTACTGGGATATTGATGAAAATTATGTTAAATCTATAGATCAATTTGGGAAGAAATAACATCTTTATTGATTCTTCCAATCCATGAATATAGTATGCCATTCCAATTAGTCTTCTTTAATTTCTTTCATCAGCATTTTATAATTTTCAGCACACAGATCTTGTACATGTTTTGTTAGATTTACATGTAAATATTTCACGTTCTTTGGAGCAATTGTAAACGGTTCTGTTTTTGTTTCCACATATTTATTGTTAGTATGTAGAAAACCTTTCTCAGTAAAAGAAAGAGAAATGTACTCTTCGGTGAAATAAACTTGTTTAGTGGTTTCTCCTTCACCTGCTGGGCAGGTAACAATCTATTTATCTTAACATTCAAGTACCTCCACAATGTGCCTCTGTATCTCTTAAACTTAACCTCATACCTAATTGCTACATACCGATTTCTACTGCTACTGGAAGGGTTTACTCTTCTCTCACCTGAATACACCTTACTCATCATTCATTCCACCTCCTTGTCTTGGTTCATTGCCATTTGCCCTCTGGAATTGTCCCTCCACTGGCTTCTTCACTGCAAACTAAATCTGAATTATCCTTCAAGGATAAGGTCAGAACTCTTTATAAGGTGCCTTCCCTTATAATCCCAGCCTACATTGCTCCTTTTCTCTTTTTTGAGATGGAGTCTCACTCTGTTGCCAGGCTGGAGTCTGGAGTGCAGTGGTATGATCTCGGTTCACCGCAACCTCTGTCTCCCAGGTACAAGTGATTCTCCTGCCTCAGCCTCCTGAGTAGCTGGGACTACAGGCGCCCACCACCATGCCCGGCTAATTTTTGTATTTTTAGTAGAGATGGGGTTTCACCATGTTGGCCAGGATGGTCTCGATCTCTTGACCTCGTGATCCACCAGCCTCGGCCTCCCAAAGTGGTGTAATTATAGGCTTAAGCCACCGCGCCCGGCCCCCTGACTCTTTTAACCAATATTGTACATCACTCAATCATTGATTTCGTTTTTAATGAGCTTTAATCTACGTCTTGTTTCCAGAAATAGATGAAATACCCTGAGAGGCTTCCATGATAGCTATGATGGCACCACATCATACATTACACACACTTAATTGTGTAACTGAGGAAAGGGGAGAAACGTTTCAAGCCATGTCAGTTAAAGCAAGGTTACGGGAACTTTGGCATGCAAAGGGGATACCATTAATTCTCACGAATCTTTCCTTCAGGCAAGATCCATGCTCTGTACCACTAGTAAAAGGACTATCTTCTCTTTCATTCCTAAAAATCCCAACACCTCCAACAAAGGTCTACAGTTAGTAGATTTTTAGGGGTTTCCTGGTAGAGCAGAAATAATCCCAGGGAAGCTGCAGTAACACCTCCTGGCCAGCAGAGGACAGGGAGCAGTGGGAGAGATTTGCTTCGCCTAGCAGAAGTCTTCCAGAGGCCAGAGGCATAGGCTCCAAGTTGCTTCTCCATCTGTGGCCTTCAGGCTTTACCTACTACTGCCAGAGGTGCTAGGGCGCCTCCCATCTTCAAATGGGCTTTTTTCCCTCCTATAAAAGATGGGCCAGAAGTTCCCAGAACCTTACCCCGCAACACTAACCTTCAATGATTACCAATCATAAGGAATGCCCTTTAGTTGCAGGACTTAAAGGCAGAAAAGTAGTAACAGGGGTGTATTATCTTTCTAACCCACCCAAACCTGCTTCTCAGTTCTTTTGCTAGTGGAAAAAAGTGCTTTAGGCAGGGTGCACATGGATATGCCACAACAAACAGTGCCTTTAGGGTCCAGTGTCCCAATCCGGCACATTGCAAACGGAATATTTTAAGAGTTAGATTATCCCTACACATAAATTCTGGCTCATGGAGCAGTCCACTCGCAGGGGGCTTTTCCGTCATTAATCACATCTTTGTTATGTGATATCCACGTGAGTACTTCTCAGTAGAAGCAGCTTCATGCTCAAATGCTCAAAGAACATTGGAATAAAGCTCCGATTGTCCTATTCAGTGATTCCAAGTCCTGGTTTGTCACCACCTCAGGTCTCTCGTTTTCCAAAGTGTGTAATATCATCTCAAAACAAAGAGACTTTAATGAATTCAAATAATAAAATACACGAGGTACGTGGAGTTAAATCAATAAAGGGTTTTGTACCTCTCAAGAGGCGGTGAACCCCGGTCTGATTTAAAGATGTTTCAGCGCTGCGTCCTGTAGAAAACATTTTTAAAGAAAATGTAGGCTGCTATCCTTGTATTTGTAAATATAAGTAAAGTAATGTAGGAACATTTATGAGGGGGTTTTCACCATAAACATATAGGTAGCTGAATGCCTGACAACAGTAGTGTGATTTTTCTTGAAGTACCTGTAACTTCTGAGAGATGGCAGAGCCTTGCCTTTTGCATTCGTCAGGCTTTTTACCGAGCGATTGTAATTCTCTCAAATCAGTGTTTGCGTTTTTTGATGTTGGTGAGGCAGCTGGAAACAACTCAAGGAGGAGGGAAAGGTTCTGGGTCTGGGTGAGGAGAAAACCCTCCGATACCTGTTGGGGCGCAGCACTGGAGGGGGTCGGACCGCGAGCCCGGGGGGCGGCGGGCGCGCGGGCGCGGAAGGAGGAGGAGGAGGAGGAGGGGTAGGAGGCCGCGGGGCCGCCTCCTCCGGCAGCTCCGGCTCCTCCCAGCGGCGCCCGCGGAACCTGCCTCAGAGTCGCCGGACTCGGGAAGAGAACATGACCTGACCCCTCCCCGAGCGGCCGGAACGAGGCGCGGAGCCGCGCTCCGGCCTCGGGCGGCCGCGGGATGGGCGGGCGCGCGGCCCCGCCCGGCGCCCACCGCCCTGCCCTCGCCTGTCTCCTCCTTTCCCCGGGGCTCCGCTGAGTTCATTCACTGGGATTGGTTTCAAGTGACGCCATCTCTTTATTTTTAAACCAATGACCTCATCCGCGCTTGAAGTTTCCTGACCAGCGACTCTTTCTCTTTCCCCCAACCCCCCACCCCCCCCCCCCCCGCCTTTCCCCCTCTTTCTATGTATCAGTGTTCGGGGGGCTTTAATCAGTTTTTGAACGATTATTACCACCTCTCCCTCCCCTCAGACCCCGCTTTCACAACGCGACCCCCCACCTTTACCTCCCTAAGTTCTTCATCTCCTTCGACATTTTTTTTGAAGGCTGACTGGGGGGGAGGGTGGAAGAGAAAGAGTGAAGAAAAGTTGCGAGCGTCTCCTCTCTTCCTAAGCCTCCCGCCCCCACCCACCCCTCAGAGAAGGAGAAGATAATATAGTGAAAAGAAGAGGAGGAGGAGAGCGACGGGACGGGACGCGAGCAGGAGCGCAGCCGCCCTCTCGGCTCCGCGGCGGCGCCTCGCAAGCCCGGGAGGCGAGGGGGGCCCGAGGGGAGACGCCGTGACAACTTTCGTTTCCCTCTGAGGGAATTGGGAGGTCGGCGGCCCCAAAAGTAAGTGGCCTTGGCGGGCCGCGCTGGGTGTGCGGGCGGGAGGGTCCGGGGCCCGGGGCGCCTTGCCGCCCGGCCGCATGGACGCTCCGCAGCGCGCCCCGACTCCCGGTGCGGGGAGCCGCGCTCTGGCCCCGCCGGCTCTGCCTTCCCGGGCGTACCGGCCACCCTTTCGGGAGGCGGCGTGGGGGCGACCGCGGCCGGGGGCCGCAGGAGCGTTTGAAGCGCGGGTGTAGGCCTGGCTGGAGGCTGGCCGGAGCGGGAAGGGGGCGTGCGGCTGGACGCGGGGTCGCAGTGGGTGCGCTCCCGGCCGCTGCGCTGCGAGCGGGCTTGGACCGGGCCCCGCCGAGAGGAGCGGCCGCCGCGGGACGCGGCACCTTCGCGGGCGAAGCTGCTCACTTCCAGGCGCGAGTGTTACACAACACGCCTGCCAAGTGGGGCCCCGGCCTGACTGTTCCCATTATCCCCAATTCGCCTTTGGTGTAATCAGCGAGGCCACCTGGGTGGTGACGGTGCTGCTTTCTTCAACCAACCAACCAAAAAAGCCCTCAATTTTCGGACAGGGGCTCGGGTCTTGGCGTTGGGGGGCCCGATACCTAGTGACTTCTTTATTTACACTAGCTGCAAAACGTGAGAAATAAAAAAGCCCAGGGTCTGTGTATCACGTGTAGTTTCATGTAATGGAACACCACAGAGGGAAATATCTTCAGATGCTGGGTTTATTTCCTAAAGAATACCAGTAATGAACCAGAGAAAATGCAAGTAGATCTGAAAATGAATGGATACTGCAAAATCCTAAAGAAGTTTAGAAAACATCAGCTGCAAGGGTTCTTGGCGTTTTGAAGTCGTGGGTGTCTCAGATTGGAGAAAGCACACCTCTAACCAGCCTGTGATGAATAAGGTGGGGACGAAAAAGCCTGTTGCATAATCTCATTTGCCGTGGGGTTTGCTGTGCCGTCCCCTTGAACCAAAGGGAAGTGAGTTAAGATGCAGGGTTTTAAAACTCTGTGAAGTTTTTATTTACCCAGTGCTCTGGCTGCCACTTCTGTTTTAAAAGATTATAAGTAAATAATCTGCTCTTCCAAGTGAACCAAACCTATCAAACCTGTTTAGAAAATAAACCAGGTATGTTTCTTTCTCTTCTTTCTTTTCCGGGTGTTTGTGTGTGAAATTTACCATCCATGCAAAAGCTTAGGACTAGTGTTTGGGGAACTGAGACTGTCAGAGAAAATGCCTCTTTATGCCACTCACCTTATGGGGCTGATGGAGAGTCCATGTAAAGGACAACCGTTTCCTCAAAGGATTTTCATCTCCATCAAGAAAAGGCTTTTTAAAGTTAAGGTAAAATTGTAAAAGAAGAGATTTCGTACCAATTGAATTAATTACTCTTTAACACTTTTCCTTGAGAATCACATATATTGGTGGATACCACTTGGGAGGCTCGTGGAGTCTATTTGGTGAAGGCAGCAGCTTGGAGAAGTAAAATGAAAAGCAGAATGTATGGCTTTGTGTAGGGATTTTAGTAAAAATGTGAGTAGGCACGGTGAAAGGTTTTTGTGTTTTAAAATTGTGGAATTTACTGAGTTTGAAGACAATGTGGAAAGTTGCATTAAAATTTTTTTTAAATTTGGCTAACATTTGCAGTCTTATATAAAAATTTAGGCTGAATAACAGCAGCCCAAGAGTTGGATTTTAGGCAAAATAAGTTTTGCATTTATCAAAATTCTACATGGGGGGAAAAATTAGAAATGAACTTATTTTGAATTTTGTTAATGTGAATAGTGTATTGAAAATAACTCGGTTCAAGTACTATAAATGTACATTCAGATAAAAAAATGTGTAAACTGTGGTAATTATTATTTTTTTTTAGTATTAACCTCTGCTATATCAGCAACTCAAAGTAAAATATCTCATTTGGCTTGATTATGGTGCCAAATGATCATAGTGCATGATTATGGAGGGGGCTAGGAACAGAACTGCAGAATTAGCCAGTTTTGCTCCTTTTTCAATTGAGAATGCCCTGTCCTTTTGTTCAGTTTGGTGGTTGTGTGTACCTATAAAATAAAAATAGACATGTAAAATTGGGCGTTGGAGTCTCTTGGGCCAAAAACTTAATGGCAGTGACTGAGAAGGCAGCAAAAGAGGAGATCCTGTTATCCCAGTTCTTTTCCTTTTTCCTACACATTTAAAAATTATTTGTGGGACACTTGAGAGTGGCAGTGAGGCTGAGATGGGAGGGGGGAAGAGTAGGTGTGAGAAGGTTGCAGAGTTTAGGTAGGGATCAGGAGAAGAGGCAGGATTTATGTGTAAGTGTGTTTTGATGCTATTTTCTGTAAATTCCTGTACTGGGAATTTAATTTCATACAGTTTTTAGCATATGGGATTAATATATTGGTGAAGCAGACGTATATAGCTGTCCAGTATTAACTTTTTTCAATTTTCTGCTACTCCTAAAATCCTGCTAAACATAATTTGCTAGAATTACCAGTGTAATAATTTATCCTAGAACTCTAAGTTTTCCTAGACAAAAATAGTTTTCTACTTCGTGTTACCTGAACTAAAAATTTCACTGGACGTTCAGTGTTTTTAGAATGCGTTGAGTTCTCAAGCAAAAGGTACTTTAGTTTGAAGAAGTAAATTAATATAGGGTGAACTCATTTGGATCAGAATCCCAAGAAAATAAGGAGATAATTTAGAGGAAACAAAACAGATTTTATGACGGATTTCAACAGATGAAAGGGGCTAGTTAAAAAGATTTCACAGGAAAAACCATAGTTGATGCTTGATTGGCTTTAAAAGAAATTTCCTGATCATTTAAAACTGAGATATTCACCATTGTAAAAGAAAATCCGAATGTTGGCTTAAACAAAAAACATAATTAGGAAAATAAGTCTTGCCCAAAGCGACATATGATAAATTCCAAAACCAGATGTCAATTTTTTTTTCTGATTTTCTTGTGTTGTAGACAATCTGTTATTTGTATGCATTTCATTATCCTTGATGATCAAGGGTTGGCTGTGTGAAGAGAGGTTCATAAAGGTTGACTGAATTTAAAGAAGCAGGCTCAGGCTTTATGAAGAGGCAGTTCTCCTACACAGATGGATTGAGACGGGGAGTTAGAATTTTAATCAAATACATAACTGGAGGAAACAGTGGCTCAAAAGAAGGATGTAAGACAGATTACCTTGGCCTTGGACAGGTACAGAGAAATAATAAAAGCTTGCCAGAAGTATGATCAGAAAGGAAGGGAATGGAATACATCTTGTCATGAAAGGAAAGAGGAATAAATGGAAAAATGCCCTCTGATACCTCAGCAACAAGAGAGAGTAATGAAACTTCACGCCCTTCTTGATTGGGGTTAGAAACATCATTATAGGTATTGCTACAAACTGACAAGATTTTTTATTACATTAAAAAATGTAGGCCAGGTGTGGTGGCTCATTCCTATAATCCCAGCACTTTAAGAGGCTAAGGCAGGAGGATCACTTGAGCTCAGGTGTTGAGACCAGCCTAGGCAACATAGACCTTGTTTCCAAAGAAAATCAAAAAATTAGCCAGGTATGGTAGGCGGCTGTGGTGCCAGCTACTTGGGAGGCTGAAGTGGGAGGATTTCTTGAGCCTGGGAGGTCAAGGCTGCAGTGAGCTATGATCGTACTGCTGCGCTTCAGCTTGGGCAACAGAGCAAGACACTGTATCAAAAAAAAAAAAAAAAAAATCTTGAGGGAGAGTGATGGAGTAAATTATGAGCATTAATTATAATTATGAGAATGTAAAATTTTAAATTGTCAGAAATTAAAGAGGGATTCACTATAATATCATGGCCTATTTTGAGTTAATTTTAAAGGGAGGGATACATTATAAAAAACTGAAATTATTAACTGAATTTCTGGATTAACTACTGATATGAATCAAGCAAAACATTTGTTAACAGCGTGCTGTTTACGTGTGCCGAGATGGATGCCAAAAGTCGGGGACGCTGGTCCATGTTCTTACGGAGAACAAGATTATAAAAATTTTAAGGGAGATACACATGCAAAGATAAACAATTACCAGACAGCTGGCAGGTGCCAAATTCAGGTACAAAAGAGAAAGAGGGCTCAGGGAGGTAATCTTCATAGAGATAATAGAGTTTGACCCTGGCGTTAAAGATTGGTTAACATGTGTATGGAGAAAGGGAAGTGGCGGAGGTCAAAGGCAGAAGGTATTCATTCACCCATCTCATTCAGCAAATTTATGCTGAGCTTCTACGAAGTGCTAGATCCTGGCCATACAGTGAAAAATAAGAGAAGGTTTTTGCCCTTACATAACTTACATTCTAGTGGGAGAAGACAGGACAATAAACAAAGACAATAAGCAAGTAAACAGTACATTAAAAAAGTAGTATTAAATAGTGGTAAGTAGTAAAGGTAATGATCAGGGTCAATAAATCGTACTTATTCTGTGAATCACTTGCTTTGCCTATCATAGTCTAATGAATAGTCTTCATGTTACAACTTTTTAATATTCATGTACAGTCCCAATGAATTTGAATAAAATCTACACATTAACCAGCTTTTAAAAAAAGAAACGTGAATTAAAGAAAAAGAAACCTGTGTGACTTTTTTCGGTCAAGGCATGGAAACTTAGTGTTTTTTTTTTTTGTTTTTTTTTTTTGAGATGGAGTGTGTCTTGCTCTGTCATCAGGTTGGAGTGCAATAGCGCCATCTCGGCTCACTGCAACCTCCGCCTCCTGGTTTCAATCGATTCCCCTGCCTCAGCCTCCCGAGTAGCTGGGACTACAGGCGTGTGCCACTGCACCTGGCTAATTTTTTTTTGTATTTTAGTAGAGATGGGGTTTCACCATGTTGGCCAGGATGGTCTCGATCTCCTGACCTCGTGATCCACCTGCCTCGGCCTCCCAGAGTGCTGGGATTACAGGTGTGAGCCACCACGCCTGGCCAGAAACTTTAGATTTTTTTTTTTTAATGCCTCATTAATTTATTCATAATTCTTTTGCTGCCATTTGCTAAGAATCTCATGTTTTTTACAATGAGATTAATATCATTGTTTACTGTTCAGTTAGGTTTTTCATGTATTGGGCTATATTCTTAGGTTAGACTCTTTCTGTTAGGAACAATAATCACAATAGTGTCATAAAGTGAAGCTAAATTCCAGAGATTGTTTTGTATGGGAACATACAAAAGAAAAGATGTACAGACAATAAACTGTTGGGCTTAATTACCAGTAGGTAAACTAGGGTAAGGGATGACATCTGTTCAGCTTTTGTCCCGATGGCATATTTTTTTCCTGTATTACCCCAAATAGTAAAAACCTGAAGCAAAAATGTTCCAAAATGGGGAAGTTTTGATCTTTCCTGTGGTTATTTGACTACCAGATTTGTTTTGTTATTGTTTAGAAGATGTCCTTCATAGTGATCAACTAAAAACTGATATTATCAAGAGCTATTTCATGTTTTGGGGCACAGTTTGTTCTTCTTAAGCATTCTTTAAGAAATATGTGCCCTGGCCGGGCGCGGTGGCTCAAGCCTGTAATCCCAGCACTTTGGGAGGCCGAGACGGGCAGATCACGAGGTCAGGAGATCGAGACCATCCTGGCTAACACGGTGAAACCCCGTCTCTACTAAAAATACAAGAAAATTAGCCGGGCGAGGTGGCAGGCGCCTGTAGTCCCAGCTACTCGGGAGGCTGAGGCAGGAGAATGGCGTGAACCCGGGTGGGGTGGAGCTTGCAGTGAGCCGAGATCCGGCCACTGCACTCCAGCCTGGGGCACAGAGCAAGACTCCATCTCAAAAAAAAAAAAAAAAAAAAAAAAAAAAGTAATATGTGCCCTTCACTCTTTTTGCAGTTTTAAATTTAATTTTTTTTTTTTTTTTTTTTTTTTTTTAAGAGATGGGGTCTGTCTCTGTCACCCAGGCCGAAGTGCAATAGAGCAATCATAGCTCACTGTAGTCTCAAACTCCTGGGCTCAAGCAATCTTCCCGTCTCAGCCTCCCAAGTAGCTGAGACCACAGGTGCATGCCACCACGCCTGCCTAATTATTATTTTTTATTTTTATTATTTTTATAGAGATGGGGTCTCTCTTTGTTGCCCAGGCTGGTCTCAAACTCCTGGCTTTAAGCCGTCCTC